GAACCCACGGCAGTTTCACCCAGGTCGGCCAAAGCTGAAGGGTGGGTGGCTTTGCCTGGGGCCACAGCTGCAGGTGCCTGGGACAGCGGGGTGGGCAGCTTGTCCCTCTCCCAGGCTGAAGCCTGGCTGGTCCCCATTCATCTCTTGCAAGCACCTTTGTGCCTTGCTGGTCCCCATTCCTGTCTTGTGAGCTCATTTGTGCCTGGCTGGTTCCCATTCTTCTTTCCCCAGTGTTCAGAGCCATTACGTCGTGACAGCATGAGGGTGTGATGACTTTTTGCATATTAGCTCTTTATTATACAGGATAGTGTTGGTATAAGCTTTGGTAGTGTATTAATTTTCTATTGTTGCTATAACAAATTACAAAAAACTTAGAAGCTTAAAACAACAAAAACATATTAACTTATAGTTATGACAGTCAGAATTCCAAATGGGTCTCACTGACTAAAATCAAGGTGTCAGCAGTACTGCATTCCTTCTGGAGGCTCCAGGAGAATCCTTTCATATGTCTTTTCTAGCCCCTCACCTCCATCAATGCCCTTGACTCATGACTTAATTCCTCCATCTTCTAAACCAGCAACACAGGAGTTGTCCTTTTCATTCTGCTATCTTCCTGGCTCTCTTCTGCCTCTTTTTCCTGGTTAAGAGCCTCTTGGGTTATATTGGACCCACATGGGTAATCCAGTCTAATTTCCCTAATTTGAGGTCAGGTGCTTAGCAACCTTAACCTATCTGCAACCTTAATTTTCACTTTCTTTGTCATCTAATTTATTGACAGGTACTGAGGATTAGGACATAGATATTTTTGGGCACCACCTGCTTACTACAGGTGTAATTGCTACAAATCACTGGGTGAGCCTGAAGAATTCATTGTCATTTTTTTTACTAAATGACAGGAAACAATACAATTATTTTCCATTGTACTAAGTTCCTTTGTAAAATTATATTGACTTAAATTTGGATAATTCTAATTAATGTCTAATAACTATTTAAATTTCTGATGAAAGAAAGAAATATGTTCAGATTTATGCTATTTACATATAACTTTGTAGATGGGCAACTCTAAAAAATATGTCTAGTTGAGATTTTGGAAGCATTTTACCATGAAACATCTAGATACAGTCAGTTGGACCATAATATTGTCTTTGAAATAAAACTCCAGATGAATACTTAGCCAATAACACTCACTTTACTTTGTAAAAAGTGAGGAACAACAGTAAAAAGAACTTTCTCTGCTATATGTACTTTAAAGTTTCCTTAAGTCCCTTTCAGAACATGAGAAGATAGTGCTTTCATAATAAAGTGAATCTTGCCTTAACCCAAATAATTTAAGTTGGATAACAGTTAATTAAGCAAATGCACAGATATCACTAATATGTTAGTAGGTGAAACTACGCATTCATTAGGAAGAATAAACAAATTTAGAGTAAGACTATACTTTTTGAAGAAGAATAATAGGATGCGTTATAAAACACAAAATATACTCAAGAAGAAAGATCAGAATAACTTTGGATAATTGGAAAAAATTATCTAGTATGGATTTCAATTTATAAAAATAAAAAATATCTTGTAGGAATATATTCCACTAGAGTCAAAGTTAAGGCTATAACAGAATAGGATTAAAACAATATTACAAAAATTAATAATGATAAAATCATTAATGGGAAGGCTATTGAAGACAGCACACATAATTTTTATAGCTCAAGGAGAATCATTTCAGTTTCATCAGTAATCCTATATAATAAAGAGATAATATGCAAATTAACCCTCACATCCTCACAAGATGGTTGCCTATGACCAGGCCGGCAGGGGGTTAGTAAGGGACAACCAAATGACTGAACAAGCAGACTGCATGGGGCAACCAGGCTGGCAGCGGGGCCGTGAGGGGTGACCAGGCAAGCGGGGGGCGGGGCAGGGGCACAGGCTGGCATGGGGTGCAGTAAAAGGCAACCAGGCCTACAGAGGGGATGCATTTAGGGGAGACCAGGCAGGCAGGTTGAGCGATTAGGATTCAGTGGTCCAGGATTGTGAGAGGGATGTATGACTTCCGGTTTAGGCCCAATCCTGGGGATCGGGCCTAAACCGGCAGTCATACATCCTCCAAGGGGTCCCGGATTGGAGAGGGTGCAGACTGGGTTGAGGGGACCCCACGCCCCATGCACAAATTTCGTGCACCAGGGATCTAGTTACTTATAAGCCTTATCTTAAGAAAACTTTCACATTTTCAAAGGAAAATGCTTATCACTTTGACAGAAACATGAAAAACTCTTCTAAAAATTTTAGGTGATGATTTCATTGACAGATATACAGTATTAAGATCTTCTCTAATCACATCCAAATCTGGATTTCATTTATCCTACATAGACAATAATATACCTTAAATTTTATTTTACTTTTCAATGAACCATATGCATTTCAATGTAAACTATACACAGGTTGTTCAATTATTTCACAAGACCAGATGCCCTAAATATGAACAAAGTATCCACTTAAATTGTGCCACTCTGCCAGAAACTACTGTAACAGCAATACTGAACAAAACAAGCAGATGTATAACTAATTAATGCTATTATTTGACACAGTATGAAAATAAAGGATCCAGTATTGAGTAGAATAGTAAACAGGAGTCAAGGAAGTGGACCCAGTAAGTGTGGACTGTCCTTTCAAGACCTTTGGGAGTGTAAAGAAAGGAGAAAGACAATAAACAACTTGGTGGATTCATGAGCTGATTTGCAGTAAAAGGCAACCAGGCCTACAGAGGGGATGCATTTAGGGGAGACCAGGCAGGCAGGTTGAGCGATTAGGATTCAGTGGTCCAGGATTGTGAGAGGGATGTATGACTTCCGGTTTAGGCCCAATCCTGGGGATCGGGCCTAAACCGGCAGTCATACATCCTCCAAGGGGTCCCGGATTGGAGAGGGTGCAGACTGGGTTGAGGGGACCCCACGCCCCATGCACAAATTTCGTGCACCAGGGATCTAGTTACTTATAAGCCTTATCTTAAGAAAACTTTCACATTTTCAAAGGAAAATGCTTATCACTTTGACAGAAACATGAAAAACTCTTCTAAAAATTTTAGGTGATGATTTCATTGACAGATATACAGTATTAAGATCTTCTCTAATCACATCCAAATCTGGATTTCATTTATCCTACATAGACAATAATATACCTTAAATTTTATTTTACTTTTCAATGAACCATATGCATTTCAATGTAAACTATACACAGGTTGTTCAATTATTTCACAAGACCAGATGCCCTAAATATGAACAAAGTATCCACTTAAATTGTGCCACTCTGCCAGAAACTACTGTAACAGCAATACTGAACAAAACAAGCAGATGTATAACTAATTAATGCTATTATTTGACACAGTATGAAAATAAAGGATCCAGTATTGAGTAGAATAGTAAACAGGAGTCAAGGAAGTGGACCCAGTAAGTGTGGACTGTCCTTTCAAGACCTTTGGGAGTGTAAAGAAAGGAGAAAGACAATAAACAACTTGGTGGATTCATGAGCTGATTTAGCCCATGAAAGTTGTTCTCAGCTCATTTTGAAAGAGATTAAGGCTAGAATTCAGCCCTAGATTACATTAAAAATCTTTATTATTGAGAGTATTACAGATGTCCCCCCTTCCTCCCCCATTGTCCCTCTCTGCCCTACCCCAAGCCTTCACCAACATATTGTCTGTGTCCATAGATAATGCATATATGCATATACGTTCTTTGGTTAATATCTTCCTGACCCCCCCCATTCCCTCTGAGATATGTCAGTCTGTTCCATGCCTCTGATTCTATTTTATTCATCAGTTTATTTTGTTCATTAGATTTCTTATCAGTTTATTTTGATTTTTATATTCAATTGTTGATAGATATGTATTTATTGCCATTTTATTGTTCATATTACCCCTCCTCCTCCTCCTCCTCCTCCTTCAAGAATACTCTAAAACATTTCATGTAATACTGGTTTGTTGGTGATGAACTCCTTTAGCTTTTTCTTGTCTGTGAAGCTCTTTATTTGACCTTCAATTCTAAATGATAGCTTTGCTGGATAGAGTAGTACTTATTGTATGTCCTAGCTATTCACCACTTTGAATATTTCTTGCCACTCCTTCTGGCATGCAAAGTTTCTGTTGAGAAATCAGCTGACAATCTTATGAGCAATTCCTTGTAGGTAACTAACTGCTTTTCTCTTGCTGCCTTTTTAGATTCTCTCTTTGTCTTTAACCCTTGATATATTAATCATGATGTGTCATGATTTGGGCCTCTTTGGGATACCCCTGTTTGGGACTCTCTGTGCTTACTGGACTTGTAAGTCTATTTATTTCACCAGGTAGGGGAAGGTTCCTGTCATTATTTCTTCAAATAGGTTTTCAATATCTTGCTCTCTATTCAGCCCTAGATTACATTAAAAAATCTTTATTATTGAGAGTATTACAGATGTCCCCCCTTCCTCCCCCATTGTCCCTCTCTGCCCTACCCCAAGCCTTCACCAACATATTGTCTGTGTCCATAGATAATGCATATATGCATATACGTTCTTTGGTTAATATCTTCCTGACCCCCCCATTCCCTCTGAGATATGTCAGTCTGTTCCATGCCTCTGATTCTATTTTATTCATCAGTTTATTTTGTTCATTAGATTTCTTATCAGTTTATTTTGATTTTTATATTCAATTGTTGATAGATATGTATTTATTGCCATTTTATTGTTCATATT